GGTGAAATAAATAAATAAATAAATAAATAAATAAATAAATAAATAAATAAATAAATAAATAAATAAATAGCTGTTTGAGGTCTGCTCAGGTTTGAATCAGACACTCTGGTTTCCGTTTTCCAGCTGCTGTTTTTTTCCTTTCAGGCATACAGGGTTGGTTTCAGATGAGCTGTTATTGATATAAAATGTAAAAAAATAAAAAATAAAAAAAAAGCACGTGGTTACACAAATCAGTTCACTGACCAGATGTTTACAGGCCTACTGTTTCTCTCCAAAAGTTCACCGTTTTAATTTGCAACTAATTTATTCATTAAAAAATATATATATTTCCGTCTGGGTTTTCTTTTCTCTGCAGGTCCAAACAAGCAGATTTTATATTCAGTCCTAAGTAAAACGTGCAATAAATTTATTCAGATTATTTTTTAATTGGTTTTGATTTTTAACCAATTCACATTGATCTGCTTAAAATGTTTTATTTCCCCGGTGTTGCATAATAAAATATATAGCTCTAAATATTATTTTTTTCTTATTTTGTAATTATTTAAGCGTGACTTTATTTAGTGGGTATTTAATAAAACCATAATAGCACACAAGTATAAAACACATTGTTTTATTAACTCTTTAAATTAGATAAAAGACACAAATAATAATAATAAAAAACTCCGATCACAGATGTTATAATCCAGTGTATTTCAAGTGCATTTTTTTCCAATTAAACTGTAATATATTTATATATAATATATATAGGCTTTCGTTTTCTTTTTTTAATCTTTTTTTAAATCAGGCCTTAGCATGGAAGAGGACACACAACTCAAATGTTTGGAATCATTTAAAAATAAAAAAATTCAAGTAAACTGATGGAATGTTTTTGATGTAACAAAATGTCTTACGCCTATATTCCAAACAAATGTAAACTTTGAAAAACATTTTTAAAAAATGTTAATTGGAACAGGTGAGTCAGACTACCAATGATGCAAGTATAAATTAAAAAAAAAAGTTTCTACCAGAAAAAAGGGGGAAAATGTTGATTTTAAACAGGTGGATCCTATTTACTTGCCACAGAACAACATTCACAATTTCAGACCACTTGAACCACAATCTATGAATGTATTTACAGTATAAAATATACAGGTGTGTTTTTTTATCCAATTTTAATGAGGCTTTATTTTAAAGCGTTTTTTTATGAAAAGTGAGATTTGAAAGAAGCAACTGTGACGCTCAGTCAATCATTTCTGCTTGTTTAGTGAACACCTGCAGAAGGTGCACAGGGACAGTAAACTGCTCTAAGAAATTATTTGAAAACAGGCTGGGCCAAAACGTGTTCAACAACAGAGGACAGTCACATTTCAGGTTGTTTTTTGTGTCCGTTCAAGACCTGTTTAACACTTTTTTTTAAAACGAAGTGAACAAATATTTTCTTTTTTATTTAATTATTATTATTTTTACCTCAGAGTTTCTCCAAGCTTTTGGGATTGGTCAGTATTTCTCTTGCCAGTCGCCAAGTCTGTTTGGCTGCGTTCTCTAGAGCAGAGTGCGGTTTCCCCTGGAACAGGTCTAAATTAGGCAGGAAGTAATGCGGGCACCTTCTGCACTGCAAACACGAAATGAGCTGCAATAGAATCCCGTTCAGGCGGTCGCCGAGGCAGTTTTCATCCCAGTCCGACTCCCTGGGATGTTTCTCGCACTCGTAGGAAACTAAAGTTTTCATGTGGTAGTTGTTCAGGGGCTGCCCCGGCAGCTCCAGGTGGCGGTCGCGCAGCGCTTTGAGCACCGACAAGCACTTCTTCCTGCACCCGCCCAGCAGGAGCCGGTTCTCGGCCTCGGCGAACTGCAGCACCCAGGCGTCGCTCTCCGCCGAGCTCTGCTTGCCGTTCAGGGAGTAGCACTCTTTGGACAAAAGGTTGAATCCCTCCGCTTTGACTTCCGCCACTCGGTTCGGACCGGGCCAGGGGATGTGCGGCAGAGGCCAGTGCGCGGCGCTTCGGGGCCAGATGCCGGTGCATTTGAAAGCCGGGGTGATCTGCACCACGTATCGGTCTCTGATGCGCAGCTTCACCTCGCTCGTGTCTGCGACCATTTTGACCACATCCCTGTAGCTGCACTTATCCACAGCCTGCGCCACCAGCGTCTGGAACCTCGATCGGATCTTGCGCGCCGAGAGGTAGCCGGAGGCTGTGATGAACTCCACCCAGAGAGACATGCTCCTCTTGCGGCCGTCGCTGAGCTTGAGGACGGCGCAGCCCGGGAGGGAGCCGTCGTCCACGAAGTTGAACACTCCCATCTGATTCAGATAGAGCACGACCTCGAACTCGGTGGGCGAAATGACCTCCAGTCCTTCGAATCGGTTATCCATCTCGCTGAGGGAGCTGATGAAGCGGGGCTCCTGCACCTCGACCTCCTTCAGGACATCCGACACCACCTTGCACACCTCCCGGATGGTTTTGGAGATGGCCGCCTTCCGAGATTGACATTTCTCGTTATAGTATTTGTTGAGGTGATACACCAACTTTGCCTGGGCGGCTATCATGTTAGGGCAGAGATCCGGGTTATACACCGGAGTCTCGCAGTACGCCGAGGGATCCAACGCGGCTGTTTGTACGGGAGCCAATTTTAGAGAAGACGGAAAGCTATTTAAATAGAAAAAAAAAGGTACTTATAAAATAAGGATGTGCTCAGAGCACGCGCGTAGCAGTCATCACATTCACAGCTGCTGTGCTGCAAACTGCATCGAAGTGCTAAAAGCAAGCAATGGAAATGATCCGGATGCTGTGATTAAAAGTCCATTTGCACCTCGTTTAAAAGCTGAGGGGAAAAAAAATGCCTTTTATTTTCTTCTCGGAACGCTGTGCCAGTTAGGAGTCCGCGTAATTGCGCAGAGCGGAGTGTGCCCTCTTTACGCAGACGCCTGGTGTTGCCGTGTTTTACAACAGGGAGAGACACACACGCACGCAGGCACGCACACGCACACACTTTATTAAGAGGGAGGAGTTGAAACCAAGATGTCCAATCGCTGTCCAGTGCGTCACCGCAGCTTGTCGGAAACAAATCCATCCCCGGCTGTTATATACGAAAGAAAAAAAAATTAAAGGTTCTAGTTGTGTGTGAGGAGCGGAAGTACACCTACGCGTTTGAGCTGAAGACCGAAAAAAAGAAGAAAAAAAAACTACATATTTATTTTATTTGTTATTTTTTTGTCTTGGACTTTATCGTCTCATTTTTAGTTTGCTGTTCTTAATCTTGTATAAAACAGTAGGTGCGTTTAAAATGCTTTAAATTTCACGTTTTCTGAAAATAAATGTTTGCTATTATTTGAAATCGTTTTAATCGCATTTGTAATAAAAACACACAAGATTAATCCTATATATATATTACAAAAAATCTGTTGCAATTCTTTAACCAGAAATTGTTTTTATTTTGTACAATTTAGTTGGGAAAGCTTGTAATAATAATAATAATAATAATAATAATAATAATAATAATAATAATAATAATAATAATAATAATAATAATAATAATAATAATATTGTTTGTTTAAAAAAAGTCCTCATGGTTCATTGAAATGCTCGAGCAGCCTGAGGAGACATCAAATTAACAAAAGTCGTGAATCACAGCCCAATTAGAATTCACTTAGAGCTAATTTTCGTGTTTGTTTAAAATAAATAAATACATTTTTAAAATGCAAATTATTTTCCATATTAAGACATTCAGACATTTTTTTTTGATGATTTGATGATCATCAAAAAAAAAAAGACATTCAGACATTTTTGTGAGTTTAATCAACATTTACACAACATTTATTTTATTATTTTATCTGTACCATCGTCATCAACGTTAACTTTTGTCAACTTTAAGTGCTCTTATAATTTTGTGATGTAAAGTGAAATGTGTTTTTTCAAAATTAAAAGTTAGTGGTCTGTAAAAGTATTTTAGATTAAAAGTTGTTTTATTAAATAATAAAAAATATAAACAAAAAATGCTTTTTTAAATTTATATTATTTTACAAACAGTTCAAGTAAATAATGGTAACTTGGGAATAAACATTAAATAGAGGAGGCGCTTACAGGATTTAAATGGTATATCTAAACATTTTGCACCAAGTTCTTTAAACCACACAACAACAAATAATATAAAATAAACAATAACATTATTTTAAAAATCTCCACACTTGTACTAAACCTTGTCTGGCTCTCCTCAGCACTCTGCCACTCTATCTCACATGGTGCTGTCCCTGCTTTGAAGCAAACTTCAGAAAGTAGATGCTGCACAGATCAGAAAAGGAACACGAAGACGTTTTACACTCATCTTCACCATCGTCAGAGCTGCATACGACCAGACATTATGGGGGCAGTCCGCTGCTGCTCGGCTCCAGCTCTCCCCATGTGGATGTGTCTGAGCAGAGGGGTGGGCTGTGCAGAAGGACCTTGATGGATCGGTGACTCCCATTATCATCACAACCTGTCACGGGTGCACTGCCAGTTGCAGCTTGGCGAGTCCCAGTGATAATTTTACACTGTTACCAGGCAGAAATTACACATTGGAAGTATGAAATCCAATTGGGCTTTAAGAGATATTTTAAAATATATTATCTCATTTAATTTCCTTTATTGATACACATTTTGGTAAGATTACATTTCAGAGCTGTGCATTTTGATTCCCTCTGACATATATACACTGAACATTTATGGAGCATATCATAGGTTTTTCATGTGGTGAGAAGTCACTAAAGGCTATTCCCTTCTCAAGTTTTTATAGACTTTTTCCCCCTATTCTCTCCCACTGTCTGTAGCTCAGCAGGTACTTGGTTTTTATTAAAACCAGACTTGGCTCTCTTTGCAGACTATCATCCTTAAAGTCAGTCTAGTTGCACCTCTCGAGTTTACACTTGAGCCTTTGACCATCACCATGCGTGATAGAAGGGGGGATTTTCATTGAGATTATCGCCTCCTAATCTAAAGCATGTGGCTGTGCAGATCCCACTGTAACTCAACCTGCTCCACAGTCCCATGACTCCAGCAGTTGTCAAGTCTGGCCCAAGATGATCCAGACTTCTCATTTCTTTACCACATTCTCGTCACTCCATGTACCCTGCTAGGCGACTTGGAGTCCCATCATTGTGATGAATGGGATTGTGAAACAGATTCATAAATGTATGAATGAATACGAAGATTTCTACTTCCTCTAATTTTGCCTGACCATGTGACCCTGTTTTGAAGGCCTCTTTGTTTTCAGAGCATTCCTCTACTTTTTTTCAGTTTTCTTCTCCGTTTTCTCCTTTATTCTATAAGACTGATCATCCTGTTGACATGTTTATGAATAATGTAGGTTCAGATAAAAGATATGTTTTATTTTTTTATGAAGATCTCTTGAACTTCAAAACTATTTTCTGCTGGGAAAACTGTACCTTTATGATCCGTATTATTTGTTTTAAAAACCTTCTTTGTTTCTCGTATGCTTTATTTAAACTGTAAAGATTCAAATACAAATGTGCAGGTAATTTTAAATTTCAATATCTTCTACTCTATAAATGTTGTAAAGATGAATATTTGCCTAATCCTTAAAGTGAATCATCTGTGATCAGCAATCCTATAATTATAGATTATATTTTGTGATGGCAACGCAGTTAAATATTTCATAATTGTAATAATCCTATTACACAATAACAAATAAAGCCAGGCATCTGCTTTTTCTAAATTAAATTTTGGTGTCATAGAGACCCTGAAGCCATCTTCAAAGCGACTTTACCCATGAGCCTCTAAGTTAATGCACAGATTAGTTCAAGTGGACCTAATCGGATGACATATGTCTGTATAAATCAGATTTAAAGGAGTGACACTTTAGAAATGTGACATCAAACTGTGCAAAATAATATTCTCGTGACTTGCAACAAGACGTTTTCTGTGATTATATTTGCTATAAAATGAAATTGTCATTGAGATTTTTTTATTAATGGACCATTATTATTCCTAGCAATATGGTGACTCTGTAGGAGGCCAACTAATTTTTGGGCCTGGAGCCTCACTGTGGGACCCCCTTTGGGTTGTGTCCATTCATTTATTTTCTTCTCTGCTGTGGATCAGTGGTCTCCTTTCTGGAGTTATAAAGCTGCATCACCAGCTCAAGGTTTTATTATGTTCACCTCATCAAGCTCTCCTCAGCCTATCTGAGAGCACACCAAATGCATTTTTTTTTAAAAAAGAGGTAAAAGTGTAAATTATGAAATTTAATTGATAGCTCATTTTCATTTGGCCCTTCACCCCTCCCCTTTGCAATATGGTACGCTTGTCAGCCTTAGTGATAAATTACATGCATGTATTTGCATGAATTTAGCATGAATGCAATTTAGTTTTGTTTGTCAAAGTAACAATCCAGAAAATGTCTGGATGTGTCACAAAAGAAGAAAACTGTTAATTTTGCATTCAGTGCAGCTCAACTGGCAGGAATCTGCTACAGTTCTGTTCACTTATATTTACACAAGATTTAGCATCACTTTCCTGTTTGATATGTTTTGTGGACAAAACAGGACTATTATGTTTTTATGCTTTCTTTCTTTAATTTCTTTTTGTTATGAAACTTTACTGGCTATAATTAGGGAGTTGAACATTTTTTATCAACTTTTCTTTTTTTAATTTTGTGGTCAATTCATTAAACTTTTTTCTGCTAATTCTACAATTTCTTATTTTTCCCACTGTGTTTGCCCTTGAAGGTCACCATTCAACAAATAAATTGTGATTAATCTTAATCTTTACAAAAGTGGGCGATATAATCATCTGCCCACTGACCCCCCAGATGCTCATAAAAAGAGCTATATTCAGTGCTTGTTCCTGATAAATAATTTCTTATCTCAGACAACCTGAACAGTTCTACATGCCATGTGGTCAGAGTAGGAACAGTCCTGGACAATGAATAAAGTAACAGAACTAAAAGTATATTGTTAGTTTGTGACTGTTGGGAATAAAACACTGTTGGGATAGCTTGCATTGAAATTAGGTGATGTTGCCTAAATAAGGAATGAAGGGTTCATAATTGCCAGTCTTGGAGATCTGAGGTGCGGGGTGCCAACTGTCAGAGCAGGGCTAATGATGACAAATGTCTCTCTATGCAGATGCTGCAGCAGCACAAGGCTGCAGCTGAGATGGAAGAAGAAAAGGAAATGCAAAGGGCCTAACAAGGAAAAGCTTGTTTGCACATATTTATTGACCTACATGGAAGAAAGCCGCCTGGTGCTGCCTTTGAAAACACAAAACCTGATGCTATTTAAAGCTACAAAACCTCAATTATACCTTTTAAATGATATAAATATCTGTAACTTGAACTGTAGATAACTCAGAGAGGCTTATGTTTGGTTTAAATTCATATTTTATTTATTTTGAATATGGGCGACATTTCTAATCAAACAACTCTGTTCCTTGCTAGACTTTCTTTAGCTCATTAATGCTGATTATTGTGCAATGTGGGAACATGTTGGATGACTTGGAAAAAAGCTGGATGTCTATTTTCTTTTCCTGTGGCTGGTTCTAGTTAACACAGTCAAACTGTTGGTTAGCACAGCTTTTCTTTTTCATCAAGGTCTTCTTGATTTTAACCACCTTTGTAGAAAAAAGCCATAAATCTGATTTCACTTGCTGTGACGTAGGGACACGCTAATAAAAGAGCAAGCACGGAGTGCTGCATGGCCAGCTTTCCCCAATTTGTTGCATGAATGGCTTTTGAAAGGGGTCCCCTCCTGGTACAAAAAGAGTCTCGTCTTTGTTTGGTTTTGCCCCATCTGTGTCATCTGGTGGTCTTTGCAAAAAGCGTGGTGTCTCAGGGTGCTCCCCAGTGGCGTTGCCAGTTGTTTTATAGACTCGCTAGAGTGGTGCAGGGAGTTCATAAGTTGGCTGGCCCATTGTGAGCTGAGCCCAGCTGACACGTGTGAATTGACTCCAGCATATTGACAGATCATTTCCATTAATGAATCGGAGAAGTCTGTCTTGTTTCACTCTGTGATTTACGCCCTTACTTAATCATCCTCTGAGCTAATGACTCGGCTTTAACTGTTGGATGGAGGCCTTTTGTTTACAGGATTTAAAATACTTTGCTTACCAAATTTTCATTACATGTTTTAATGAAATATAAGTGCATGTTTATCATGATGTGAAAGTCTTGCATTATCGGATTTTACAGCTGATAAGCAGATAGGGAAAGTATCAGATTTTATTTCATAAAATAACTAAAGCGAACAACCAGACATTAACCAGCCTCCATTTAAAAAAAAAGTTCATGTGCATCAGGCAGACAGCAGTTTTCTGCGGGAGTTTGTGGGCGTTTCATGATTTGATA